ACACTTTTGAGAGGCAGCCCATCCACATCGAAACCCTTTTCCGAGCAGTCCCACGCAACATGGCAGCAGTTTGATTTCGACTTTATAATGAATCGCTCCATCCTTTCTACTAAAGCGAAGATGTTACCTTTATGTGGAAATCGAGCCCAGCTATTTATAGGCCATTCCTTACTTTGGCGCCACGCGACTTTACTGGGAGAAACAGAAGCGCCCCCCCCCCACCCCCACCCCCGGTGATACAGCAAAGGCGTCCAATGATACCGGTGCGGTTCGGACATGAATCATTTAACGGCGCTTCATGCATGAGAGGAGACGTTGTTGCGCGGTGCCATGGAGGGAGAGGGGAAAAAAAGGAGTGGGGGGGGGGGGCCTCAAAGTCCACTGATTCCTCCTCGAGCTGCTGGGGAAAGATAAGCATCAGATGGATGAGCAGGGGACTTAGCCTGGCGGTTATTGATCCCTCTGCTCCAGGAACGATCCACAAGTCATTCGGATAACCTTTTTTTTTTTTTTTTTTGTCCGATAGATCCTTAAAGGCTTTATAACAAATAGAAGACGAAACAAGAAGAAGAAGAAGAAGAAGCAGCAGCACATACAGTTTTTTTTTTTTTTTTTGGGGGGTGCACTTGGCGTGGCGCTGATGGATGAAATTCAGATCAGTTTGAAGAAATCCGTTTGAGTATGTCGCGCGTTTCCTTTGGTCGGGATAATGGACACTTTGGATACACGTTGAATTCACTCGCTGACCACATTCAGAATTCAAAACGGTCGTATTTCAAATCATCTGACCCCATTGAACGGATTGCCAGTCATCTGTTCAAGCCGCCCCGCACCCCCAAAAAAATGATGTATTTCTACATGAGAAAAATAGCACTCTTCAATATTGTACAAAATATACAATAAATGACAATTAATTAATAAGCAATTTCATAATTTTGCCACATTTTTTTTTTTTTGTTTTTGCTGTCACACAATGGACATCACGCTGCTCCTTTCAGTGCGTGCTCCAGTATAATACAGATATACGGATATAAATGAAAAGAGCCGGTACCAATTGGTCAGTGAGTCGCAATAATATGAGTCGATCTTCACCCCCAAAAAAATGATGTATTTCTACATGAGAAAAATAGCACTCTTCAATATTGTACAAAATATACAATAAATGACAATTAATTAATAAGCAATTTCATAATTTTGCCACATTTTTTTTTTTTGTTTTTGCTGTCACACAATGGACATCACGCTGCTCCTTTCAGTGCGTGCTCCAGTATAATACAGATATACGGATATAAATGAAAAGAGCCGGTACCAATTGGTCAGTGAGTCGCAATAATATGAGTCGATCTTCGCAGAGGATAAAGAATGTACGCCCGTGAGTTTTGTTCTCCGACATACTGACATTGCAATGTGGTGCTACGCCATTTCATCAATCGCAAAGGCTGAAATTTGGGATATTTTGAAAATGATTCACATTGATCAAAAGGGTTCATTTGTCTTAAGATATTTATACTCACTTTGGTGAATAATTTAACACCTCGAACTGAAGGAGAGAAACTGTCTTTCACATTATTTCCTGGTTCATTTGCCTTCATTTTTAGCATAAGCCTCACCTAGAACACCAAAACATTGATGCACGATAAATCCGACCTTGACAAAATACTCGCATATTAAATCGGAATTTGGGTGGGGGGGATTGGGAGGCAATTGCTTTTCAAAATTGTTCAGCCGTAGTCTGAACAATCAGTCATAAACGGGGTGTCCTTTTATTTTTTTTTTTGTATTTGTTGCACCTTGCAGCCGGATGAGACGATCACACATGGATGGCGGGCGGCACGAGAAGCACTCCCTCTCCGTGTTTCCCTTCATGTTTTTGCACACCGTTAACTGCAGCGGCGCTCATTAATGATTCAGGACGAGCATATTTCAAGGGAATATGCTCGCATGGACACTGAAGGGTGCTCATCAGTCATATTGTGCTCCCCGTATGGACCCCTCCTCCCCCCCAATATACACACACACACACACACACACACACACACACACACACACACACACACTCAAATAGCCACTTGGATAACTGCTATCTTCATCAGTGATTGATGGCTCACCGGGCGCTAAGTTAACACACAGCCAAAGCAAAGCAGCAAAGTCTGGCCATGATATCAGATGAGGGCTTTTGCTCCTCTTTTGTGCAAGTGCGCGACTACCTCGCTGGCATTTCCTGGAGCGCGGCAGAGTGTGGCTGAGGAGAATAGATGGTGTGCATTATAATGAACACGGGCTGACACCACCTCATCCATCACGGCACCCGGCAAAGTTATAGTAGTGGCAGAGTGAGAGAGAGAAAGAGAGAGAGACTTTAAATCACAGGAACGTCTGCAAGGTCTAAACTTTGTTGTTGTTGTATTTTCATTTTGAGCAGCCCAAGTTCTTTGTTGACGTTTTCCAGGGCAGACTACTTCTTGCTTACTATTTGTCATTCCTGTCATGTTTCTGTACCCTGACCCTTCTACAATCACAACTCTGCATTTGGGGGGCAAGGGGCTGAGCGCGCCACTAAATGAAGCACAAAACGCTCAACCAAAGTCTGCATTTAAGTTCATTGTGTGCTTTTTTTTTTTTTTGCTTTCTTTTTTTTTTTTTCCCCTTGCAACACTTAGTCCAAAACAAAACGTCATCATGCAAGGAGCTGGAAAACTACAGGGGTGGGTACGCGACTGTGCTCGAGGGCCACATTTGATTTTTCAAATTGACAGCTGATTTTTGCTTCGAGAGCGAAAGAAGGAGTGAGAGTTGAATAACGGAATACAATAAAAACACAAGTGCAAAATTGACACCGAGTCATTAGTCTGAATTACGACTTTGGGGAAAAAAAAAAAAACCCTGACAAAGACATCCAGGATTCTTCTTCTTCTATTGTAGTCATTTACCATCTGGGTAGTCGCGTTACAAAGACAGCTCCAAGTCACGCTGAAATCAATATGCCGCACAAGCGCCATCACAACAACGCTTGCCGGAGTGAATCAACCCAGATGTCAACGCGTGCACTCCCCAGGAGCAAACCGCAACACCGCACACTACACGCGTTGTGCTTTGGTACAACAAAAACAACAACAAGAAGAACAAAAAAGTCACTTTCAAGCCCTCCTGTAAATTAAAAAAAAAAAAAAGGAGGAGAAGAAAAAGAAGACTAACGGGCACTTCAGCGCGATGAGATTGCGTCTCATCAAGTCGCTTCTTTGGCTGCGATTTGCATGTGAAACGAGTGCATGGGGGATGAATCAGAGCTCCCAGAGGGCGTGGTCGAGCAGATAGACACCGCATCACATTCATGGCGCACGCAGGAAAGTAGGACTC